CGAGCAAATAAACAAAATAAATAAATAAATAAATAAATAAAATAAATAAATAAATAAATAAATAAATAAATAAATAAATAAATAAATAGTTATTCGCCATTCCCCTTTGCCAAGCTGAACTTGAGGGTTCTGGAGCTGAGGGTTTTTAGCGACAGCAAAACTGCTTCGCCCCGCAGCTTGAAGTCAGGGATGCAAACAGCAACTGCTGCTGCTGCTGCTGCTGCTGCTGCTGGGTTTGCTGCTGCTGCTGCTGCTGGGTTTGCTGCTGCTGCTGCTGCTGCCAGCTGGCGGTGCTCGTGCTGCTGCTGCAGCCCCGCGAAGTACACGTGGTAAGAGCTGGAGCCTGTTATGCAAAAAGGGTCTCGGTCAACAAAAGGATAGCACCTGAGCCGCAAACCCTAAACCCTAAACCCTAAACCCTAAACCCTAGCTGCAGCAGCAGGAGCGACAGCACCAGCAGCAGCAGCGACAGCAACAGCAGAGGCAGCGCACGGGCAGCAGCAGAAGCAGCGCGAAAGCAGCAGCAGCAGCAGCGCAACAGCAACACCAGCCGCAGCTCAAGAGCAGCAGCAGCAGCAAGAGAGCAGCAGCAGCAGCAGCAGCAGCAAAGGAGCAGCAGCAGCAGCAGCAGCAGCAACTTACGGGAGAGTGTCTGGCGCGGTTGGGGCGATACAGCGGCACTGCGCCGTCAGCTCGAGAGCCTCTGCAGCCGCAAACCCTAAACCCTAAACCCTAAACCCTAGACTCTAAACCCTAAACATAGGGCCCAAACCCTAGCCGTGTTCCCGCCTCGCCAAACCCTAAACCCTCAGAGTAAGGGGCCGACGCGGCGCCTCCCCAAACCCTCAGCAGCTCCCGCAAACCCTAAACCCTAAACCCTAAACCCTAAACCCTACCTATGGGGGAGAGGCAGCTCTGGCGGCAAATGTCTTTCACCGGCTGTCCGCTGCTTCCGATGAAGCGGATCTGCAGCACAAAAGAACTCAAACAGAAAAGCAAAACATTGCTGCTGCTGCAGCAGCAGCAGCAGCAGCAGCAGCAGCAGCAGCAGCAGCAGCGTTCCGTTTGCTGCTGCTGCTGCTGCTAATTGAAGAAAAGGAGAATGAAGCAGCAATTGCGGAAAGGAGTTTTAAATAAATAAAATAAAATAAAATAAAATAAAATAAAATAAAATAATTAATTAAATTCTTTTTACTCCGTCAAGTTCAAAAGCGTGAGGGTTTGGCGCTGCTGCTGCAGCAGCAAACTGGCGGGTGTGGGGCAGCAGCGCGGGGTGTATAGACAGCTGCGGCAGCGCATGCGTTGTGGGGTCTGTGGGGCCCGGCAGCAGCAGCAGCGGAGCAGCAGCAGCAACTTGCGCCAGGAACGCGTCTGCTTCCTGCAGCGCAGCAGCAGCAGCAGCAGCAGCAGCAGCAGCAGCAGCAGCGCCCCCCTCTGCTGCTGCTGCTGCACCTCCTGCTGCTGCTGCTGGCAAAGACAAACAGTCCCCACAAACCACCACCTGCGCCACGCGCGAAGCCAACAGCCGCAGAGAAGCGCTGCTGCGCGCACAAACCCTAAACCCTAAACCCTAAACCCTAAACCCTAAACCCTAAACCCTAGAGCAGAAGCCCGCGAAACAGCAAACAGCAGCAGCAACAGGAATGCCGGGAATGCTGCTTTTCCCAAACAAGAGAGAGCCCCTCCTGTGCTGGGGTCCAGGGTTTAGGGTTTAGGGTTTAGGGTTTAGGGTTTAGGGTTTGGTACGGCGCGGCGCCAAGCAGGAAGTCTCTCAAGAGCTGGAGAGGCCGAGGGTTTACAGTGGAGCCCAAAGACAGTCCTGCGACCGCAAGCGAGCTAGGGTTTAGGGTTTAGGGTTTGGGGATATCCTAAAGAGTTATATTTAGGGTTTAGGGTTTAGGGTTTAGTTTATACTTTCCACTTAGTCTTCTAAACCCACCCGAAACAAACAAAACATATTTGTCTTCAGCATCAAACTCTACACTTCCCACCGCTTTGGGGGCCCCTGGGGGCCCCCCTGTCAGGGGGCCCCCCTGGGGGGCCCCCTGGGGGGCCCCCTGGGGGGCCCCCTGGGGGGCCTCCTGGGGGGCCCCCAGAGGGGCCCCTGGTGAGGGGGCCCCCGCAACGCAGATTTGGTTTACGCTGAAGGCCCCCGTGCCTAAAGAGTATCCTCTTACGGCGACCACCTGAAGACCGCAAAACCCTAAATTAGGGTTTAGGGTTTAGGGTTTAGGGTTTGGGGGTCGGTTTTGTTGTCGCACGCAATCAGAAACAATCTAGGAGCTTTAGGGGATGCTTAGGAACCCCTAAGCCGCAGCTGCCTAGGGTTTAGGGTTTAGGGTTTAGGGCTAGGGTTTAGGGTTTAGGGTTTAGGGTTTGGGGCTAGGGTTTAGGGTTTACCATTCCCGTTACGCATCGGTTAATGTCGAGGGTCCCTGACATGCAGAGGCTCCCTGAAACAGTTGAGAAGGCTGCTCTTTCTGCTGCTGCTGCTGCTGCT